GCAGGAGGGGAAGACCCTCTATGAGATGGATTGATTCGGTGACTGGGGTAATCGGGATGGGTGTGTCAGAGGCGGTGTGGTTGGCGCAGGATAGAGCAGAGTTTAGGGCTGTTGTGCATAGGGTCGCTATGAGTCGACAAGGACTCAACGGCACATAACAACAACAACAAACAGTTAAATGAAAAAGAATAACAATTGATTCCCAAAGGGTAAATTCTTACACTTCCACTAAGTACCCATGCTTATTCATATGTTTCCAGGTAGCTGAGCATGATGCAGGTCAAATACCATGTCCATATCACCACTACCTGTAGCTGTTACTACACCCTTTGTGGATCCTCCATTGCTACTGAGGTTTCTGCTCTGCTGTTGTGCTTTTATGGGCACTGCTGGCAGCGCCCACCGCACTACTTGGGCTGTGAGACACTCTTGCTACGTTTTTACTCAGATCCCTGGTGCCTTCTAGGGGAAAGATAGGCAAGCAGCTCCTGCACTGGGCTCTCTTGCCCTGCACAAGTGTTAACAATCCTTTCAGTTCAGTTGGCACCTAACTCAGCCCTATTGTAAGGAAACAATATCTTCTAAGACAGTCCCTGTGCACAGGGCAAACTCGGGCCTCTGTTCTGCCCAGGTAAGTGTGACAGCTCTTTTAACTCTATAGAATAGTGATGTCCTCCTTAACCACAATAGGATTTGTACTGACACATCCTTTCTGTAGGCCACAGTCATTATATTTTCAGAGTGATTAACTAATCTCAGGTGAGAATGTAATCTAGTCAATAATTTTGTGGAAGTTACACGACCATAGTTTAAAAAAGGCATATAAAACCAATTTACTATACCACAGTCTCACATACAGAACTCTGAAATTTTCCTGATGAGATGAATAAATTATTTCTAGCATGCTTGTGCATACTTCTACAATGAAAGGTACTCTACAGGTAATATTGTCAAAAGATGAAGCATTAAGCTAGGTTTGTAAGAGGAAACATAGGTAAGGCACAAAAATATATTAATATCTACAATTGTCATTTGTTGTATATCTCTAATATTTACCTTAATAACACTAAATAGCTCCATGTGACAGGTGAAGAAAATGGAACTTGGAGAGTTAAACTAGACATCCAAAGTTCTACATACAGGATGTCGTTGTTACTGTTATGTGCTGTCAAATCAAGTATGACTCATAGTGACCCTATTAACAACAGATCTTCATAAACTCGGTCCTATCCTGTGCCTTCTTCATCATCTCTAACATACCCTTTGCTCTGTCACCTGACATGCTGCCGGTTGTGTCAGTTCCCATTAAGGATCTTCCTCTCTCTGGTTGACCTTCTGTCTTTCCAGGTGTGATGTCCTTCTCCAAGGAAACCCTCTCTTAACAACATGCTCAAAGTATGTGAGTGAGGGGAAGTTCTGCCATCCTCGCCTCCCAGGAGCAATCTGGCTGTACCTTCTCTAAGACATGTCTGTTTGTTTTATTGGCATTTCACCACTTTTCTCCATCACCACAACTCAAAGGCATCATTAATTCTTCTGTAAACTTTACTAATTGTCCAGGTCTTGGCTGTATAGAAGTGATTGAAAAGCCTGAATCAGGTGCATTTAGTATTCAAAGGGACATCCTTGCTCCTCAGTAATTTAGAGACTGTAGAATTTCTCAGTGCTGTGTGTCTCCTCTTTTGCTGCCAAACTACAAGCATGCAATTCAAATCTACCAGCTGTTCCATGGGAGAAAGAGGGACAATCTCCTTCCTATATAAATTGGAGAGTACAATATGGTTTTGAATGTAAGGTCAAATCTGTCTGTCTACAAATTTTCAGCTTTTCACCACATACTATGTCGCATTCAACTGATAGCCCCACCATTTGAGCTATCTACAGCATAGCAGAAATGATTAGAGGCAGACAAATAGCTTGTAATTAATTCTTCCTCTAAACTTTATTTCCTACAATCAGCTTTATATTTTGTTTCTGATATTATAATTCAGTCTATTGTTCTAACTTTCTTGATTCTAGGCATTCTTGACTTCTTTGCTTCATGCCTCTAAATTTTTAATCCATTATGGACCTTTCTGACTTCTCCATTCATAATTTCACTGCCATCTGTTCTTCATTTTCTATCTAAACTAGACCATGTTCTCTTCACTACTGGGTTGGATTTTCTCTATTCCTTTTAGCTTTAATTCTCCATCTTTTAAAATAGGCAATGCACAAGTCATTTGGTTTTGCTAGTCTACTCAGAACCTCTATCACTTTTAATAACTTGACCTAGTCTACTTTCTGATCTCTTACATGTTAAAGTCAACTATTCATTTCTCATCATAGGTAGATGAAGTTAATCTTTCTTTTTGTTGTTGTTATGTGCCATCGAGTCGCTTGTGACTCCTACCGATCCTATGTACAACAGCCCTAAACTCTGCTCTGTCCTATGTCAATAGCACCGTCTCTGACACACCATCCCGATTACCCCAGTCACTGGATCAATCTACCTCATGGAGGACCTTCCCCTCCTGCACTGTCCCTCCAACATACCAAGCATGATGTCCCTCTCCAAGGACTGATCCCTCCTTACCATATGTCCAAAGTATGTTAGACTGAGCCTCAGAATCCCTGCCTCCAAGGAGCCACTGGGTTAACCCTTTCCAGGATGAATCTGTTTGCTTTCCTAGCAGTCCATGGTACCCTCAATACTCTTCTCCAGCACCACAGCTCAAAGGCATCAATTCTCCTTCTATCCTTACTAGTCATTGTCCAACTCTCTGATGCATAACAAGTGATAACAAAGACCATGGCCTGTATCAGACACACCTTAGTCTCCAGAGAGACACCATTGCTCTTTAATTCTTTGGAGAGGTCCCTAATAGCAGACTTTCCCATCGCAATACATCCTAATCTTTCTTATTGTAATAATTTTTTCTTTGTCTACACTCAAAATCTTTGAATGATAACTCAGGTCCTATTTCCTCTGAGAATTTTGACTATTCCAGCCTATTCAGTTTAGAGTGATCTTCAGCTCTCTAATATAATTTTTGAATTTTAATTAAAAACTCATACTGCCATGGATTACATACACACTGCCTGGTAAGCAATAGAAGGATAATAAAGATGGGAGGAATGAACGAATAAGTGAACATGGAAAGAAAATCTAGAATTCTTGTCTTTACTCAGGCCCTTTCCGTTCATTCCTATTAGATAAGTAGATGATGATTAACCTTTACTTAACTCTGGTATCATTTTACATAATTTTATACCTTTCATATAAAATATAAATCTACTATAAGTTTTAGTGTCATTTGTATATTTATTATCTTAACACCAACCCAACACTCATAATGTAAGTCCACTGGTCATTTTTTTTTTTTTTTTTAGTAGAAAAATGACTTGCGTAAGGAAGGAAAAATCACCATAGAAGAATTTAGAGCAATTTATCGAGATTTTGCATACAGAGAAGAAATTATGGAGATTTTCAACACATATTCTCCAAACCGGAGGATTCTTTTTGAAAGAGATCTGATTGAATTTCTAACACAAGAGCAGTGTGTAGATAAGATGGTTAGAATTATTGCTTCTGAGATCATTGAAAAATATGAACCTATTGAAGAAGGTAGGTTTGAATTTTAAAGTTTCATCAGAATATTACTTAATTTTGAGATTGTATTTCCTAAAATATTAAATACTGAAAGGTTTATTGTTGTAGCTTAAAGATTGTGTATATTTTTAAAAACATTTTTAGGAAGCTGCATTGTATAATCATAGCTTTCTTTTCTTTAATACTGTTCAGCTCCCCCCCCCTTTTTTTTTGCATGTCTTGAATAGGTTTCTTTTTTATTAGTCTTTTTTTATGAAGGATTTTAATGCAACATATATAATTTTTTACAACATGGGAGTGTCAGAGACAGTGCGATTGGCACAGGTCGCTATGAGTCGCAAGCGACTTGTCGGCACATAACAACAACAACAACAACAACAACAACAACAACATCCTTTCCATTTACTTTTTCCCTGTTCATTCATTGTTGCACATTTTCCTCCCTGCTCACCTCTACCCCCGAGTTAATTTTCTCTTTGAAGAAAAAAAATTCTTCCATTGATATACAACGCCCCCAGTCCACAGTCCACTTTAGTGTGCATTTCGTTTTCTGTAATCTTGTCATGAAAATAATACCTAACCCTATGTTCTTTTTAATCAGTTCTCTCCCTCATCTCTTTCAATGCAGCATACATTATTTATTCCCACTTTTCTTAGATTCCCCCCAACCCTGATGCCAGTCCCGTTTTACAACAGTGGCAGTATGAAGTATTTTCCTTTTGTGACTGAGATATTTCACTCAGCATAACGTCCTCCATGGTCACCCATTTTGTATAATATTTTATGAGTTCTTTGTTTTTCAATTTAGCATATTAAATCCATTGTGTGATACACCACAGCTTGTCTATCCATTCGTTTGTTGATGGGCACTTGGGTTGCTTCCAAATTTTTGCTATTGTGAACAAAGCCACAATAAACAAAGGTGTGCATATATCTGCTTGGGTGGCAGTTCTGGTTTTGTTAGGGTATATTCCCAGTAGTGGAACTACTGGGTCAAATGATATTTTTATTTCCAACTTTTTCAGAAAGTGCCATACTGCCTTCATAGTGGTTGCACCATTTTATTCTCCCACCAACAGTGAATTAAGGTTCCAGTTCCTCCACAACCTTGCCAGCATTTGTTGTTTGCTGCTCTGTTGAATTTTGCTATTCTTACTGGCGTGAGATGATAGCTCATAGTTGTTTTGATTTGCATCTCTCTTAGAGCTAGTGATTGTGAACATGTTTGTGTTCACCATCTGAATGTCTTCTTTGGTGAAGTATCTATTCATATCCTGTGCCCATTTTGCAATTGTGTTTTTTACCTTTGTCTTGTTGTGGTACTCGAGCACTTTATAAATTCTAGCTATAAGTCCTTATCAGACATATCATTGCCAAATATCTTTTCCCCAATCTGTGGCTTTCCTTTTTACACTGTTGGAGGAGTTTTTGGATGTGCAAAAGGATTTTATTCTTAGAGGGTCCCATTCATCTATTTTATCCACTCCTGTTTGTAAGTTTTTCAGAATACTTGGAAGACTATTTATGTTGTGGATTAGGGATTCTAGAGTTCTTCCAAGCTTTTTTTCTAATGAAATTTATACTCCTTGGTTTTAATCCTCAGTTCTTGATCCACTTTGAGTTGGTAGTTGTTTATGGAGTGAGGTTTGGATCTTGTTTGAGATTTCTGCAGATAGTTTTTCAATTTTTCCAACACCATTTGCTAAAAAAGGCTGTAGTTTCCCCACTTAACTGATTTCATTTCCTTGTCAAAAATCCATTGACCATAGGTAGATGGGTTGATTTCTGGGTTCTCAATTCTATTCCATTGATCTATGTGTTTGTTTTTGTACCAGTACCATGCTGTGTTGACTACCATGGCAGTGCAGTAAGATTTAAAATCAGGGAGTGAGATGCCTCCTACCTTATTTCTCTTTTTAAGGAGTGCTTTTCTTATTTGGGGCCTCTTTCCATTCCAAATAAAATTGGATATTGCTTTTTCCATCTAGTTGTAAAATGAAAGTGATATTGAGATTGAGATTACATTAAATGCGTAAATTGTCTTTGGTAGTATTGCCATTTTCACGGTATTGAGTGCTCCTATCCATGAACAAAGTATATTCTTTTTCACCAGATCTCTTTTTTGTTTCTTGTAGTAATGTTTTATAATTTTCTTTGACTAGATTCTTTGTGCTTCAGATTAGATTTACTCCCGAGTATTTAATCCTGTGATTTCAGCTCCCTTCTTTAGCTATTTCTATCATAGGGAGCTCTGGTTGTATAAGCTGTAGGGATATGCACTGTTAACACAAAGGCTGAGCCTCTCTGGGAATTTAAATCTATTATGAAGGCGCCAGTCCTTGGAGAAGGATATCACGCTTGGAAGGGTGGAGAGACAGTATAGGAGAGGAAGAACATGATTGAGACAGTTTGACACAGTAACTGGGGTAAAGGTATAGGTGTGTCAGAGATAGTGGGACTGGCTCAGGATAGGGCAGTGTTCAGAGCTATTGTACATGGGGTAATTATGAGTCACAGTTGACTTGATGGCACATAATAACAAGAATGGTTCTTAGGGAGGAAGATGGGAAATTTCCTCTCATTGAATTTATAGCCTTAGAAACCTGCTGAAGGGTCAAGTATGAATAAGTTTTGACTCAATGCTAATGAGTTAAATTACTGAATAAATCAACCAAGTGTTCAGAAATGAGCTCAGACTTGAAAGCAAGATGAAAACTCATTTACACTTTTTAAAAAAAATTTTATTCAGGATTCTTGCTTTGTATGTGTTCAAATTTGATTATATGGAGCCCTGGTAATACAGTGATTAAGTGCTCAGCTGTTAACAAAATGTTGGAGGTTTAAACTCACCAGCCATTCTGCAGGAAAAAGATGTAACAGTGCACATTACTAAATAATCCTCATCCAATTCATTGTCACCTAGCCATAACTGATGAATAGCTGACCCTCCAACAAGTTTTTGGAGGTTGGGAATTTCACTGGAAAAGATTGCCCAACTTTGGCTTAGCAGTGAAACACCCTGTGGACAATACCATCAACTCAAAGGTAGATACCGTGCATCAGAATCCACTTGATGGCAAAACATTTGAGACATGATTATTGTTGTTATTGATGTTGTTTTTGAGTGCTGTGGAGCCAAGTGTGACTTACAGTGACCATATGAACAATAGATCTGAACCCCATCCTATTCTGTACCATCTTCATAATCTCTGATGTCCTTGAGCCTATTACTACACTAAGTATGTCAATTCATATTGTTGAGGGTCTTCGTGTCTTTCACTGACCCTTGAATTTTCCAAGCTTGTTGCCCTTTCTGAAGAATAGCTTCTCCTTGCAAGATGTCAAGCATCACGTATGTGAGATAACATCTCACCATTTTTCCTCTAAGGAGTGCCTTTGATGTATTTTTTCCAAATGTGTTTGTTCTTCAGTGGTCCATGGACAATTCTGTAATCTCCTCCAATACCACAGCTCAAATACATCAATTCTTCTGTCATCCTTAGTCATCGTTGTCTAGCTCTCAGATGCATAGAAAATGATTGAAAAGACCATGGCCTGATTAAGGCACACCTTAGTCTCAAAACTGACATCATTGCACCTTAGTAATTTGAATTATAGAGTGGACTTAAACAAAACAAAACACCCGAAAAACAAACTCCATCACAGTCAGAATACTGCCTTATCTGAGGTTGGTATTCAGTGAGAGAACACCAAGAACTACATGCGAGCCAGGTTAACTCTTGGCTGTCAGGGGCGTCTCCTGTGTTTCTCACAGTGAGAATGAATAGCTCTTAAGCCATGAGGAGGGAAACAACATTCCTAAGTGAGGCTGCAACAGAAATAGCAGAAGCAATGGCTTTAAATGTATTTCCTCATGGTTTGTTGTTAGCTGCTGTCAAGCCTCCTCCTAGTGACTCCTTGTACAGCAGAAAGAAGTCTTGTCCAATTCCGCACTAGCCTCACAATCTGTTCTTCATTTACACATTCTTAATAGAAGCAAATGTCTTGATATCATGGAAAGGATTGATGCGAGGCTAAACACAGTCTTCCATTTTTATACATTATTTTATTTAAAATATGTAAGTAAATACAACGTTCTGAATTAAAACTATTAAAAATATTTTTAGAAATCACTAATTTATCTTCAGTTTATAGGCATAATTGTCTGCCACATTTCATAAACAACACAAAATTTTTACTTTTTAAATTCTTGAATTGTTGTTGTGTACCATAGAGTTGAAACCAACCCATTAGCTAACCCTTCCGCGGGTTTTCAGAGGCAGTTAATCACGCGCGAGAGGAGATCACTCATCCTTCTCCCACAGTACAACTGGCAGCCTCCAACTGTGTGCCTTCGCTTTGCAGCGCAGCTTCTTGCTACTAGTCCACCATAGAGCCTTACTTTTTTAAAATACTTTTGCTGTATTTAGAGAGCTCTAGTGGTATAATACTTAACCCAAAGGTGGTGGCTCTCTCGGGATTCAGGTCCATCAGAGCTCCACAGAGCAAGATTGCAGTCTCAGCAGAAATGCTTTGGAGGGTCAGCCCTGAGGTAGTTCTGACTCGATGGGAATGAAAATGCTTTAAGTTTAGAGAATCATTTAAGCTAATGATATTTTGTCCATTATTTACTTTCCCTCATCTTTCCTTTAATAGGAACATTCCAAGTTTGCTTATTTCAAATAAAATTGTAAAGCAATAATAACTAGGTTTATAGTCAAGACAAGAATGACCTGTGTTCTTGATCAGATTTAGAGGAAGATTGGCAATACAGAACAAAACAGAATGAAAGAATAATTTCAGATAATGGTTAATGTTATTAAAAAAAAAAACCAACCAGAATAAAGATGAAAAAATGATAGACAATAACCCACCTGAGAGCTTTAGCACATGAGAGTATCTGTAGGTGTAACATTTGCGTTGAGGTCTAAATGACTCAAATATAACTAAATGAGAGACATGCACAAGGAAGAGAAGTGATGACACTGAGAGAATTCAAGGAACATAAAAAGGATAGTGTGGTTAGAACTAGGAACTTTTGCATTTGGAGAGATAGACCGGTACCAAATCACCACATATTGTTGATGTAACTAAGATTTGACTTAAATCAATGATATGGATGAGTGTTAGTTAAACTATTGGAGGCTGAAAGCAATAGGGTGGTAGATTGAATGCTGCTCAGTTTGGTCTGAGCCCTTACACTTGGCCAGGTTTGCAGCAAGACCAAAACCTATGTCCCCAAGCACAGAAGGCAGGTTGAGCCCACTTCCTTTTTTCCCCTTCTTCTTGTTTCTTTTTTTCTTTTTAACTACCAGAGCAAAACTTTCTCTAAGGAAATAGTGATTTGATTTATGTTCTGCCTCAGCTCGTTATATCACTACAGACTAGGAAACAAACAAAACAGTTTCTAGACAAGCACTTTAAGTAACAGCGATCAAATGGATATAAAAAGAAATACGTTGACACTGTTACCTGCAGATGGCAAATGAAATGGCACACAGGAATAGTGAAATTATGGCAGTGATATTTTAGTTATCTTGCTTTTTTAACTATAATATTATAGTGTTGCACGTTTTGAGCCTTTACCAGCTTCATATACTCTCAGACACAATTGGTACTTTACAGTTACCCACATAATTATTAATAATCTTAGAGTCTTATGAAGATAGAGTTGAATTATGATTTTATATGCTGGCAAGTTCCTCAATCTCATCCCGTATTGATATTTCTAACATGTAGGAAAATCAAGTCTTAAAAAAATACAATATCACACCTCGACAAGAAAAAGGTAAACAACCCAGTGGCAAAATGGGTACAGGATATGAGTAGATACTTCACCAAAGAAGACATTCAGAGGGCAAACAAACACATTTAGAAATGTTCAAAATTCCTAGCTATCTGAGAGATGCAGATAAAAATGACTATGAGATAACATCTCACCCAGCAAAAATAAAAAAATTCAACAGAGCAGCAAACAATAAATGCTGGCAAAGTTGTGGGGGGACTGGAACCCATTTTCACTGCTGGTGGGAATGGAAAATAGTGCAATAACTGTGGAAGGCAATTTGGTGCTTTCTTAACCCAAAAATGCCATTACTAGGAATATACCCAAAAGAAATCAGAACTACCATCAAGATATATGCACAACCATGTTTATTGCTGTGTTATTTAAAATAAAAAAGAGATGGATGCAACCCAAATGCTCATCAACAGACAAATGGATAGAAAAACTATGATATATTCATGCAACTGAATAGCATAGCACTGAAAAACAATGAACTTGCAAGACCTTACACAACATGGGTGACCTTGGAGGACATTATGCTGAGTGAAATATTTCAGTCACAAAAGGACAAGTACTGCAAAGCACCACTATTATAAAGCAGGTTGGGAGGAGAATAGGATAAGAGTGAATAGATAATGAACATTGCATTGGAACAAATGAAAGAAATAACTATTTAAAAGGAGTATATGATGAGACATTATATATATTACAACAGCCCAGAATAAGAAATACATTGCAAAGAGAATGGAGAATGGGGAGAGGTGAGGGAGGTAACTGTGCAACAATGAGTCAATATTTTTTTTTAAGTGAACTGGGAGAGGGGGAAGGGAGGGAGGAGGTAAAATGTACAACAGTGAATGAATGAAAATCTAACTCTTTTGTAAACTTTTGTTAAAATCACAATTAAAAAATTTTATAAAAAGGTAAAATTGATAGTTATCTTTACTACTAAAAAAATCCATTTTCTCACAAAATGACTCCTTTTCTCAATCCGTTAGTTTCTAAAAGTACAAAAAAGTTTGTTTTTCTATTTCATTACTAAAAGTATTTACTTAATTGCTCAATAGAGTAGGAGTTATAAGTCAACCACTCTAGTTGCACAGGGACAAATAATAAATTCATGCTAATCATTACTCTTATAAGTTATAATGAATGATTTTGAAATAAAACATTTGCATGCCTATAAACATTTCACATATTTTCATTTTTATTTCTTGAAAATAAAATTGTAACAGTATTTTGAATGCAGGCTTTTTCATTTTTATGACACTATAAGCATTTACTTACATGAGATACAACATTTTTAATAGCTGCATATTATTGTTTTGTATTTTTAGCTTTAATTTTTCCTTCTTCCATCTATGTTGCTTTTCTAAGTAATGTCATCATTGTTTCATATCTATCTTTGTATGATTCTCTGCTTCCTCGCCAAGAATCACTCTTTAACTTAAAGTGAATATTAGCTTATTTGTACTAACTGAATTTTCATCAGCATCATTATTAACAGCAACTAATACTTATAGAGTATTTTCATGGACAGTCTGATTTAATCTCACAACACGGGGGTAGGTGCTATGATTATCTCCAATAGAGAACACACTTGCTAATATGCACAAGATTAGGTAAAAGTACAGCAATCCTCAGTGACACAATTATGCTTCAAAGACCATTTCATTATGGTTATTAAAAAGAAAGATCACCATTATTAAAAAAATGAAGATGACCAAATCAAATAAAAAATGGAGAATGGCCCCATCATTATACAACTGACAAACCTCTGAGAATCATGGTCCAGCTAAGTTAACTTGTAAGTTTAGTCACAACAGCCAGATTTAAGACTTGCTTCTCATCTCAGTGTTCATTCCTTCTTAGATGTCTTATTAATGTGCAAATAGACAAATTGGAGATTTTTAATATTGTCCTAGGTGTTAACTGTTGGATAATTCATGAGCCAGTAAGTGACAGAAGGCATAAACGAATTTGAATCTAGGCTAATTCTAGATGAAATTTTTAGTTCAAACTTTTAACTTTGGTATGTATTGTTGTTATGTGCCATTGAAATATACTGAGACTCATAGTCACTGCATGTATAATAGCTCTGAACCCTGCTCTATCCTGAGCCATATTCATGACTTTGACACAACTTTACCTCAGTTACTGTGTCAATCCACCTCACCTGGGGTCTTCCTTTCCTGCACTGTCCCTCCATGTTTCCAAACATGATACCCTTTCCCAAGGACTGGACCCTCCTGTCCATGAGTCCAAAGTACGTAAGGCAGAGCTTCAAAATCCTTGCTTCCAAGCAGAAACTTGATCTCATCCTCTCTGAGACGGACCTATTTGTTCTCCTGTTGGCCCATGGTATATATATCTCACTGAGTAAAAAAAAAACAACAAAACTCAAATATAATTCACAAGTAGCTGAACAAGTTCTATTTCTAGTCTTACACTCAAAAGAAATGTCTACGTATTTACACCAAAAGATATGTACTGAAAATGTATTTACAATAGTTTCAAGTTGTAAATGATCTAAATAATCACTAAGGATAGAATAAATAAACAAATGGTGTAGTAGTCCACATGATGAAATACTATGCAATAATAGGAATAAATCTTAGATAAGTGATGTTGAGCAAAATAAAATCAGGTTCAAAGAGTATATATTGTATTGGTCCATTTATGTAAAGTACAAGAAGAAGCTAAAGATGTGGATACACACATAAGGGGCATAATGTCAGGAAAGTTAGCAAGACACAAGTTTCTGGGGAGCTGTAATAATGTTCTTTATTTTGGTTGCTGATTGCCCGGGTGTTTAAATGTAGAATTTGTCAATGTGTGATACATATACTTTTTTGAAAGCCATGAAAAGCCAGAGATAATAAAAGGACATATTTTTTTACTTCAGTGTTAATATGAAAAAATACCATAAAAATTATTTCTAATTAAAAATTGTTGTTGTTGTTGTTTTTGTTCTTATGTGCAATTGAGTCACTTGCAACTCATAGTGACCCTATGTACAACAGTCCTGAAACCTGCTCTATCCTGTGCCTATCTTATTGTCTCTGACACACCTGACCCCATTACTCCAGTCATTGAATAAATGAATCTCATTGATGATCTTCCTCTCCTGTGCTGTCCCTCCAACTTCCCGAGCTTAATTCCCTCTCCAAGCACTGGTCCCTTCTTGCAGCATGCCCAGAGTATTCAGACAAAGCTTCAGAATCTTTGCCTTCAAGGAGTAGCCTGGTCTCACCCTCTCTAGAATGATCCTGTTTGTTCTCCTAGCAGTCCATGGTATATTCAGTACTCTTCTCCAGCATCACAGTTCAAAGGCAATATTATTACTAATTTTCAAGAATTCAGTATATTCTGGTAATGAATAAATTTATAAGTTATGTTATTTATATTACTAATGGTATTTTTACATCTTTTTTTATAGTTAAGAAACATCACCAGATGTCAGTTGAAGGTTTTACAAGATACATGGATTCATCCGAATGTTTAGTGTTTAAAAATGAGTGTAAACATGTTTATCAGGACATGAATCATCCTTTATGTGATTATTTTATTTCAAGTTCACATAATACATACTTGATATCTGATCAGCTAGTGGGAAGAAGTGACCTTTGGGGATATATAAGGTATTTGCTTAATTTTTATATGTGTTAAAATTTGGGGTTTGGAGATATTTCATTATGTTTTAGGTGAAAGTTTACAAATCAAATTAGTTTCTCATTCAGTAATTATTTTGTCTCTCAGTGTGTGTGACAATAATTTAAATTCCCTCATTGTGACTACATTCTCTCATTTTCTACTATGTACTTCCTGTTTTTATTTGCTCAATTTTCTTGACTTTTTTTGTTCGGGACAAATGCTACCTTTTTGGTCTCATATAATTGTGTGTTCTGAGAAATACATTCTTTATGGGTGCTACTGTTAACTCTATAGACCTTTATAGAGATTAAGTGTAAAATGACCTTCAGGAGTGGATTCAGTTCCAAGTTTAAAGCATGTGTAAAGGTAATAGCAAAGGCAGGTGGTTCAAATCCACCACCAGCTTCTTCAGAGGAGAAGGATGGACACTCTCCTTCTGTGTGATTAACTGCCTCTGAAAATCTGCTCCATCATTATACAACTGACAAACCTCTGAGAACCATGGTCCAGCCAAGTTAACTTGTAAGTTTAGTCAGCTATGGTTCAGTTTTGATTTGATACATGACAACACCAGATTAGGAAATCTGGTCTTTATGGATTATGATATGCCAATTAACCTAGCTATTCCCTGAGATGATTATCCCCAGCCCTGAAGCTTGTTAATATGTAACTTAGTATGGAGAGGTATCTGGCTATAGCTAAGAAGTTTTCTAACCCATGTTCCCTGTGTGATCTATTTATATGTCTGTATACATATGTGTGTGCAAATATGAAAAATGGGCCACATTTCCTTCTCGGCAATTTACAATCTCTATGAAAATCTGCTGGAAGGTCAGCTACTCAATGACAATGAGATTTTTGATTGTTCTTGCAGATATGTACATATATATATTGTATTTACCATCTTTGCCTTTTATTTTTGTGTACTTCTTAGTGTCTACATTTAAAGCACTTGAATTTCCTGATACTCTATACTTTACCAGGCAAAAATGCATAATAAGAGTAGGTCATGCGAGTTGCCTATATAGAGTGTTTTATTATTTGAATGTATTTTAGAGATGCAGCAGTTAGTGCTTCCAACCATCAGTTTTGTTGTCCAGTAAACCAGGATTTAATCCACTGCACCACCTGACCTCTCGTTAAATAAGTGATAGTGTAATTTCTGTCTTAGTATTATGCATGTTTGCTTCTTTTTACCTTCTTTCTCTTACTATTGCTCTTTTGAAGTTTCCAGAATTAGTAATTTTGATATATCTTTTAGAAAAACATATAACAAGAATTATCTTATTTACCAAGTCAAAATATCTTAGATTTCAACAAATACAGTTAAAATTAATACCCAGACACTTGGGCACAATGCTATCAGTAAAGTCAAAGAATATATAAAATGCACTGCATAATTTGGTATTTGAAAATAATTAGTTATATATAAATTTATATATAAAAAAAGAATCCCTGGTGCTGCAGCGTGTAATCTATCAGGCTGATAACTGAAAGGTTGATAGATTGAATCTCCTAATCTCTCTGCAGAAGAAAGACATGCAATATTTTACCCTAGATTGAAAGCCTCAGAAGCCCAAAGGAAGGTTGCTATAAGTAGAATTCTGGAAGTGGGATTCTTGTTGTTGTTAAGTACTGTGGAGTCAGAAGTGGCTCACAGCTGACACTCCAGCATGTTTTCAGAAGCAGTAAATTATATGAGAGATTGCTTATATTTCTCCCACATATCTTTGAGTTGATAGCACAATGCCTTATTACTAAGCTGTCAGATCTCCCTGCTACATTGGGTTTAGTTATATGTTAAAAGTCATTTATATATAGTAAAAGAACCCATGCCTACATAGCTAGTTTTATAAGTTGGATCACACAGTTAGTAGTTAGCTTCAGTTTAGTCTCTGTCCAACATGCAGTAGTGAACATTAACAAAGCCGGTACACTCATTTACAAACCAAACCCATTGTTTTCAAATAGATTTTAAGTCCTTGCAACACTGTAGGAAAGAGTAAAAGTGTCCTTTAAGGGTTCCAATCTTATTTTCTTCACAGAAGCCTGTTTCCTCTATATTCTCTCACAGAGTGACTAGTGAGTTCAAATTGTTGGCCTTCCTTATAACAGACTAGTACTTAGTAATAAAAGTTATTGTAAATAGGCAAATAAGTAGATATAGAAACAAATCTATTTAGGGATAACTCATATGGCAAAAATAAACTAGGCAATTGTAGAATATGACTATCAGTGAGAATGTAAAATGGATCAGGAAAAATCTCTATTGAGAGGTTACATAGTTCTAAACTGAGCAAGGGTAAGGAAGGAAGCTTGGAAAGATCTGGTGGAAAGAGATATCAAAACAGGAAAAAAACACACAAATATTTGCCATGATTAAGTGAAAGATTTACTTTTAAATTTACTGTTACTGGGTAGAAACAAGTAAATGGAGACAAAGAGAATTTGAGGCATTGAACAGAATTCGATTATAAGAATTTATTTGGCAGTTCATATTTACATAAGGGCACCTTTATAGAAAGGCTTGAGGATCTAATTAGGATAGTGCTGTAATCTGATTGACTTTTTTACAGTGGAGGAAAGACTGACAGGGCAAGAGTAGAGGTGAAAGTGGATTTGTAGCCCAGGTAACTGTAGCAAATTAACGCATAAGGCATATATAAGATGATAAATGGTTGAATTTGGGATAAATTGAAGAGGTGGAACAAACAAGACTAAGTTCATGTGAAGAGTATGAAGGAAACAAACTTTTTGGCCCAATTATCTAGTGTATAAGAAGCCCTGGTGCATGATGGGTAAAATTCCCAGTGATTAACCAAAAATTCAGAGGTTCAAACACACCAATGGCTCCACAGAAGAAAAGTCCAGGAGATCTGCTCTGGTAAATAGTTCTGCCTGTGAAACCTCATGGAGCAATATTTCTTGGCTATATAGAATTGTTAGGAAACTGGTGACACAGTAGATGAGATATTGTGCTGTAAACTTAAAAGTTTCATGGTTCAGATCTATCAGTTGCTCTGTTGGAAAAGATGGGCAATCTCCTTCTACGCTGTGTACTGTGTCTGCAAAGCTGCTGGATGGTCAGCTTTGAGTTGATTCTGCCTCAGATTAATTCTAAATAATAGTAACACATAGAGTTGGTAGCCAGTAGAATAGATGAATGATAAACAGAATCATCTAAAGTGTATTAATAATGCTTAACCAATGTAGTGAAATGTGAAATGGGGAAAAATAGAAGTCATCAGTTTATATGTGATATTTAAAATTATATGATTGAACATACTGCTTACAAAAACTCTCTGTATGGAAAAGGTATTTTATAATTTCCTGATAATAATAAACATACAAATAACTTGCTTCTTCTCCAGTTTAAATTTTAAGTAAGTACATTGCAGGAATGGCATGCACTTCCAAAATAGCTTGCCTCTGTAAACTCTATGAACTTGGAGAAAGGATGAAAGTTATACAAGTGTTCAGGTCTTTAATTCATAGGGTTGCTATGAGTCATCTACAACTCCACAGCACTTAACAACAACAACAAATAAAGAAAGCATAAATTTACATTTGTTGTTGTTGTTATGTGTCGTCAAGTCACCTGTGACTCATGACGACTCCTATGTACAATAGCTCTAAACCCTGCCCTATTCTGAGCCAGTCTCACTATCTCTTGCAAACCTACCCTCATTAGTCCAGTTACTGTGTTAATCCATCTCATCCGTGGTTCTTTCTTCCTTATTTGTGTCCCCAGATTAGAGGGCTCAGCCTCAGATGCATATCTGCTAGTCTACTCTATGTGTACATAGGATTTCCAAAGGCCTGTTATTTCAGAAGTGGACGGCCAATCTTTCTTCATAGTCTGTCTTAATATGGATGCTCAGCTTTAGAACAATATCTGACAGACAAGAATTTTACTCAAAGGGACAGAATAAAGATTCTTCCCCATTAACACATGTAACTAGCAGATTGCAAAGCTATAATAAAGTTAATTCTAAATTTTAACAAAATGTTCCACTCAGCTGTAAATTTCACTTTAATAGTACTTCTGTTTAATAGTACTTCTGTTTCATTTACTCATTTTAGGAAGAAAGAATCTTAAAACATTGATTTCAAAATTTCTCTGCTCAAAAGAGGTGTTGTTGATTGCCATCAAGTTAAGCACAACTCATAGCGACCCTATGAACAAAAGGCCTGAAGCCTTTCTAGAACTATCACCACTTATCAAAGTTTATAGAGTTTCTGGAGGCATGTTGTTTAGAAAGTAGAGAGAGGTAGTGTAATATAACGCTTAAGTTCCTGTTACTTAATCTTCATCTTCTTCCTTTTCCTTCACTTTTTATGTGACAACTAAAATCTCTGTGTATCTTACTTATCTTACTATTTAAAAGAGAAAATTAATATTAGCTTCCCTGTACATAAAATTACATATCTTAATCCATGAAAATTCCCTTAAGGTTGCTATTATTTTAGTTAAAATTCAACTTTAAGCCTGAAAAAACATATAAATAGAATTTAAAGAAACTAGCGATAAAAATAATAGTACTTATATTTTTCTAGTTTGTAGGAAGGATTTAAGGAAGACAATAGTCATAAAGTTATCAAAAAAAAATTTTACTCAGCAATGTCCTGGACAATTTCTAGAACAGAGTCAGAAATTTGCCTGTAATCTTTCTATCAAGCAAAGCCAAGACAGAAAGATTAGTTATAAGATTAACTTTCTTTCTCTCTCTCATTGCCATTGAGTGAAAGCTGATTTTTTATTGGGTTTCCAATACTGTTAATTGCATGGAAGGAGATTGTCTATTTTTTTCCCCCCGAGGAGTGGCTACTGGATATGAACCTGCAGACCAATTTGGCCTTTGGGTTAGCAGGACATCTCTCTACAGACTATACAATGAGAACTTCCTGTAAGAGGTACAGTGATCAAATAAAGAGTTTTTGAGAAGTGGGAGGTGTCTTAACCAAATGGGAGCTTTCCTCTATTTAGTATGAAATAATGGTGTGTGACCTCAACAATATTACAACCAGGTGAGTCTCTTAGACTTCCAAGGTCAAGAAGCTGAGATGGAGGCAAAACCAAATCTAATTTGAGACATTATTAAAGTAGCATATATCTTTCTTTAAGTTTTGAGAAAACTGCAAACTAACTGCAGGCTGAGGTAGTTAAATTTTTTTTCCAGTTAACATGGTAAGTCAAATAGACATACATGAGCAGGTAGAGATCAACTTTTGTTGATCGTATGATATCAAGTTCACTCCAGCTCATGTTATTGCTGTTGAGTACTGTTGAAATATAACCAACTCAGAGTTGACCCTCAAATGGGTTTTCAAAGGCAATTAATTGCATGAGAGAAGACTACTCATTTTAGTGGGTCATAGTGATACTATTACCAGTGAATCTGAGTCTTACCCTATCCTGTGCCATCTTCATCATCTCCAACATACTCAAGCCCCTTTGTCAATCCACGTTGATATGGGCTTTCCTCTCTTACTCTGACTTTCCATCTTTCCAAGCATGATGTCCTTTTCCAGGAAATGACATTTCCTAACAATATGTCCAAGGTGTGAGATGGGAGTTTCACCATCCTCCCCTCTGAGGAGCATCATGGCTTCAACTTTATCCAAAACAGACATGTTTATTTTCTTAGAAGTCCATGGGATATTTAGTAACATTCTCTAAGACCGCAACCCAAAGGCTATGATTCTTCTGTCATCCTTAGTCATCATACAATTTGATGATGCATAGGAAGGAATTGAGACGACTATGACTAGGATCAAGTGCACTTCAGTCTTTAAACTTACATTTTAATCTTACATACTCTAAAGAGGCGATCAACTATACTTAGATTAAAATGAGATCTTAGTTTTTACTTAGAATAAGAGTTATCTTTCTACGAAATGGTTCCTGTTATTGTTTTTACAACCAACTTTGTTTTCTGGGCTATTAGACCTTCTGTTTAACTTTCACCCACTCTGACATTTTTTCCAAGAAGGGTGTATTGGCATGATTTTCCTTATTTATTTTTTCCTTTCCCAATATATACTTTACCCTCAAAAAACTAATATGAGAAAAGATTAAGATAAAACTTTATTGTTTTATTGTTCTAAAGGCTTTGAATGTTATTCCATTTTAGTGGTATTACACTTTACAGTAAACAATAATGTAATTTGAATGGGGAGTCAGGGTATTTTTCACTCTTTGTGGAAGCAGGCATTTTTCTTTGATTACTTGTGAACTAAGTCAGAGGGTAATAAAGAACAGAACATGTGACTAGAAAGGAGTAGGCACAGTTTTGGGTTTTACGGATGATTTTCTTCCTTTCTTTCCTCCTCTTTTCCCCCTTCCTCCTTCCTTACTTTTTAATACTGTGATTGTCTAGGTGAAATTTACAGGCTTTTCCTTATCATGTATTCATTTATACATTATTACAAAATCACAAATAGTCTGAAATATTTCGATACTATTATATACTTTTTTTTGAGGATCTGTGAGTGACGTTTTATCTTGGTTGAATATTCCTAGTGCCCTTGTGAAAGGATGCCGTTGTCTGGAAATTGACTGTTGGGATGGAGCACAAAATGAGCCTATTGTCTACCATGGTTACACACTGACCAGCAAGATTTTGTTTAAGACTGTCATCCAAGTGATACACAAATATGCATTTGTTGTACGTATATAGTTCTGTTAGACTGTAGTTACATAAATAGAATCATAGTTCCTTTAAAATTCCATGATGTCTATCCTTAGTACAGATCAGTCTTGTTTTACATTTTGGATAATGACCCATTTTTAGGTGGTAAAATCAATGCAGAGGACAGTTAAAGAATCTAATTTTATGTAGTAAGGATGCATACCATTTCATGGAACTTTTTGATATTTGTGAGTGTGTAAGCCTGTGTGTGCGCATGTGTTTATTATGAGTTATGATTTGAAAAAAATAATCTGGGAAATACTAGCCTTGATAACAGTAAATATTTTATTAATATTCAACATTTCACTTTTAAGGCAAAAATATGTTAACAATAAATGAACATAGATGTGTACTTAAAAGTAGAATTTAGAATCTTACTCAACAACTTGCTTTTCTTCTTAAGCCTTTAACAGAGACAACATTCTGTAATAGTATTTATATTTTTATCTTTTAAAATCGATCTGTTATTGCTTTATATGGATATGTCATAATTTATCTAATACTAGCCACTGTTGCTTGCCTCAGTTCTTGTCTATACTTCAAACACAAGTGGCCAAAATTTACTTTTAAATACTAATTTAGTGTTCTTTGCACTGTTAAATTCAAAAGCATTTGCTGTTTAAAGAGTACTTATTCCTTCTACAAATGTACGACCATTAGAAATCAGTTTTAAAATATAGTAGTGCTTCTACTGGCTGAAATGAAATTCCTTAGATGTTCTGATCATTAACTTTGGTAATGGTTACTTTTCCAGAGTTCTGAGTACCCAGTGGTGCTCTCTTTAGAAAATCACTGCTCTCCTTCCCAGCAAGAAGTGATGGCACATAACATGCAGAAAATTTTGGGAGATGCACTGCTCTCTGATATCCTTGAAAATTATTCAGACATGCTACCATCACCAGAGGTAACATTTTGCCTGAGAAGCTTCACTTAAGAAAAAAAAAAGAAGACTATCACTATTACATTGGCTCATGAAAAGTGTTGGAAATGAATAAACATGGTTAGGTCAGATGATAAAGATCTATGTTGCAATATGTTGCCTGGGAAATGTTTCAATGAGTATTTAGAGGACTATGTGGTAAAGGATGTCTTTGGATAGTGTAGATGGTTAATGAATGTAACTTTAACTGATAGAGGGCAGAAGCTTGGGTTTTCCCAGAGGAACCTGGGTAAGAAAGGGAAGAAAGGCCTGATGACCTATTTCTGAAAAATTAACCATTGAAAGCTCAATAGAGCACTTTCTACTCTGATACATATGGTATTGCCTTGAGTCAAAATAATCTACAGCAATAGGATTTTATTTTTATTTGGTAAAAAGACTATCTAGAAATATATACAAATACCTACATTTTTAACTGACATCATACTTTATGGTTATAAAATCCTAAGCCAGTTAATATTGTTATTGTTATGTACCTTTGAGTCAAACCATCTAAAAGCTGACCACCAAGTGAATTTTCAGAGGCTGTACATCACATGAAAGACTTCCCATCTTTCTCTGGTGGAGCAGCTGGTGAATTTGAACTGTGTGCTTTTGGATTGGCAGCCCAACTCCTTACCCGCAAGAATTTTACCTATTGTTTAGTAAACACAAAAAGCTATGTTGTTGTTATGTGCTGTTGAGTCAGAACCAACCCATAGCTGACCCTCTGGTAGATTTTCAGGGGCAGCAAATCACATAAGAAGAAATTGCCCAGCCTTTTACCATAGAACCGATGGTAGATTTGAACTATGTACTTTTAGGATTCCAGTGCAGCTTCTTACCACTAGGCCACCAAGTTATAGAAGAGGTCAAAGACTGATATTGTAAGCAGACTCGAGTCCATACCCACTTCATCATCTGAGTGGAAGATCCTCTTTCTTCATTATGTCCATTTTTTTTCCACTTCTCTATCTCCCAGTCTTTTTCTTTCTTCAAATACTCATGTATTTGACTTATTTTATTTTTTTAATGATGATTTGAGTGAAAGTTTGCAAAGTTTATTGGTTTTTCAATAAATCATCCATGTTGTTGTTGTGATGTGTCATCAAGTTGCTTGAGACTCATAGCGACCCCATATACAATAGCCCTGAAACTTGCTCTATCCATACTAATTTACAAAATCAGATGACTAAAGATTCTATGAAAATAAATAACTATTTTACATAGAAATGCTGTTGTTGTTAGGTGCCATCGAGTCGAGTACAACTCATAGCAACCCTATGAACAAAAGCTCTGAAACCAGTCCTGTTTGCACACAAGAGTCCATTGCAGCAGCCACTGTGTCAATCCACCTGATTGAGGGCATTTCTCTTCTTCGCTGACCCTCCACCCTTTCCAACATCATGTCCTTTTCCAAGGAATAGCACCTCCTAGCATTATGTCAAAGTACGTTAGGCAATGCCTCATCATTCTTGCCCCCAAAGAACGCTCTGGCCGCACCCTCTCCAAGACATATCTATTCATTTTCTTGGATGTCCATGGGTTGTTTAGTGCTCTTTTCCAACCCCACAGCTCAAAGCTATCAATTCTTTTTCTGTTATCCTTATTCATTTTCCAGGTCATGGGTCCATAGCTAGTAATAGGAAAGACCATGGCATGAGTCAGACACATCATAGTCCTCAAACTGACATCACTACTCCTCAATACTTTGGAAAGGTCCCTAACTGCAGATTTCCCCATGGCAATGTGTCTCCTTACCTCCTGACTGCTCGTCCCTAGGTTGTTAATTGTGGAACCAAGAAAGATGAAGCTGTTGACAGTTTCAATCTCCTCTCCATCCATCATGATAATGCCTATTGGTCCAGTGGTAAGAATCTTTGTTTTCTTGATATTGAGACACAACCCATAATGAAGGCTGCATTCCTTGACCTTCTGCAAAAAGTGCTTCAAATCCTCTTCACTTTCAGCAAGCAAGGTTGTGCCATCTGAATAATGCAGGCTATTGATGGAGGGAATACACAGAGTCATTGTACCAGTAAGAATTGACTAACACTGAAAAATTTCAGGAGGTACCATATGAACAGGAGCCAATAGTAATGAAAGAGGAAGTGAAAGCTGCATTGAAGGCATTGGCAAAAAAAAAAAATAAGGCTCCAGGAATTGATGGGATACCAATTAACTTGTTTCAATTAACAGATGTAGCCTTGCATGCACTCAAAGATGGATGCCAGGTAATTTGGCAGATGGCTGTCTGGCCAAAGGATTTGAAGTAGTCTGTATTTGTTCCTCTTCCAAAGAAGGGTGATCTAACTGAAAGTGGAAATTATAGAACAATATTATTAATATCACATGCTATATATATAGGAAGATTTACTTATATATAAAAACATAAATAGAAGATTGTGCAACATTGAAAAACAATGACGAATTACTGAGATCTTGCATAACAATGGCAAATCTAGAGAACATTATGCTGAGTGAACTAAGTCAGTCACAAAAGGAATAATATTGTCTACTATAAACAGGTAAAGAAAGGTTTATGCAAAAATAGGATCAAACGTTTTATTTTAAAATTTAATCCACTTACTCAGATTTTTACTTCTCTCTCCAACTATTTGCTTATTCTTCCATCTGAAAGCCCAAACTTTTGTTTCTCAGTGTCTTCCCAACCTGCCCATCAAGACTTATCCTCTACCTTATCCAGAGAAACTATTCTCATCATGATCCTTCAAGACTTTCATATAGATAAATAAAATAAATCTATTTAAAATCTTCAAATGACATTTCCTCCAGCAACATTCAATACTGTAGACATCTCCTGTTCCTCAAAATACTTTCTCCTACAGTACCACATTCTTTAGGATTTCATTCATTTCTGATCCAGTGTTATTTGATTTCTTAGATGGTCTGTTTACCCTTGTTGTTGTTATGTACCATCAAGTCACTTGTGACTTACGGCGAACCTATGTACAAGAGCCCTAAATGTCATTCTATCCTGTGCCAACCTCGGCATCTCAAACACACTCATTCCCACCACTCCAATCACAGAATCGATCCATCTCATTAAAGGTCCTCCTCTCCTGCACCGTCCTTCCACTCTCCCAAACATGATGTCCCTCTCCAGGGACCACTCCTTCCTTGCAACATGCCCAAATTATGTCAGACGAAGCTTCAGAATCCTTGACTCCAAGGAACAACTGGCTTCATCCTCTCCAGGACAAACCTGCTTATTCTCTTAGCAGTCCATGGTATATTCAACACCTCTCAAGCACCATAGCTCAAAGGCATCAATTCTCTTTCCATAATCCCTATTCACTGTCCAACTCTCCGATGCATAGCATGTAATTGCAAAGACTATAGCCTGGATCAGGCGCACATTAGTCTCCATCCTGATGACATTGCTCTTCAGTACTCTTTTACTTTCCCAATGCAATTTGTCTCTTGATTTCCCGACTGCTGTTACCAAGAGTGTTGACTATGGAACCAAGTAAACTAAAACTGTTAACTATCTCAATCTCTTCTCCCTCCATACTGATGCTGCCAATTGGCCCAGTGGTGAGAATTTTTGTTTTCTTGATTAGCTTCAATCTATATTGAAGGCTGCAGTCCTTGACCTTGTGCAGCAAGCGCTTCAGGTCCTCCTCAGTTTCAGCAATCGGGGTTGTGTCATCTGCATAACGCAAGTTGTTGATGACTCTTCCACCAATCCTGATGCCACATTCCTCTTCGTACAGCCCAGAGTCCCTGATCATCTGTTCTGCATACAGATTGAAAAGGTATCGAGAGAAAATACATCTCTGATGGACTCCTTTCTTGATTTTGAACCATGTGATGTCTCCTTGCTCTACTCTGACGACTGCCTCTTGATCCAAGTATAGGTTTCTCATTAGCACAATCAAATGCTCTGGATTCCCATTCTTCTCAGAGTCAGCCATAGCTTGTTGTTATCCACACAGTCAAAAGCCTTTACATAGTCAATGAAGCACAGATAGACATTCTTCTGGTATTCTCTGCTTTCTGCCAAGATCCATCTAACATTAGCTATGGTATCCCTAGTACCATGACCTCTTCTAAATTCAGCCTGCCTTTCTGGCAATTCTCTGTTGATATATTGCTCCAGTTTTGGATAATTTTCAGCAGAATATCTGTACTCTATTTGGTCAGCTTTCTTTGGAATGGGAACAAATATTGATCTTTTCCAGTCAGTTGGCCAGCTGGCTGTCCTCCAGATTACTTGGCACAACTTAGTGATCACATCCAGGGCAGTGTCTGTTTGTTGAAATAAATCAATTGGTATGATGTCAACTCCTGGAGCCTTGTTTTTTGCCAATTTCTTCAAGAGCAACTTGAACTTCCTCCTTCATCACCATAGGCTCTTGCTCTTACGTTATTTCATGAAATTCTTTTGTGTCAGCCAATTCCTTCTGATACAGTTTACCTTTACCCTTTACTTTAAATTTTATCAGACTATAAATAAAAATTTCAAGTTTTTATTAAATAGTACTATCAAACAATCAATAGATTAGATGATAAATATTTTGTAATGTTAGGTTTCTGTTAGCATCTCTTGAAATGAGTGGGAATTATAAAAATAAATGTGATATTAATCTCCTCCCATGTGACGAACTGCCTCTGAAAACTACTAGAGAGTCAGTTATGAGTGGGTTCTGACTCAATGGTACACATAAAAACCCAACTTATTATATATTAACCTATTATGAACACAAAACCAAAAAGAAAATCCATTGCTGTCAAGTCAACTTTAATCCACGATAGTTCTTCATTTGCAAATGCCTATCTTTCTTCTCAGAGCTGCTGGTATATTTGAACTACTGACATTTCACAAGCTGCTCTAAACATGTCATCAGGGCTATTGATGCTGTTGATGGCATTCATATGTTTAGTTGATCATTATTTTAGTTACTTTTATCACAACTCAAAATATTCACTTGTTAATGTGTAAAAGTATCATTAGAAGATTT